ATACATTATTTGCAGTTCCTAGAAGCGCGCCTCTCTGAATGCTCGCTGAGCGTTTATATTCGTTGCTAAGTTCTGCTACGCAAATTTCATTTTGGTTTGCAGATATTTATTAATTAATTTTTTATTAATTCCTGAGAAAATTGCAAGACGGTAGAGAACTTTTATATTTAATTTAATTCTACTAGTCTATGCGCTATTTATGCGCTACCTATATCCGTAAAGAACAATTTTTGCGCTCATTCCGTTTAGCTAAAAAAAAATTTTTTTTTGGGGACTGAGTATGCAGTCAGTCAGCCCACCCACCCGTTAAAAACAACCGATTTGGAAAATTAAATACACAGGATTTATGCGCTACATATATCCGTAGAGAACAATTTTTGCGCTCATTCCGTTTAGCTAAAAAAAAATTTTCCTAAACCTTCCTATCAAATTTCACCAAAATTGGAGAACTTTTACATTTCCGTAACATTACCGTCCGCCATATTAGTTGAACTATTTGAATTTCCAAATTTAAAATACGGTTTCGGAACCAGCCGTCCCCATAAACCTTCTAATACCTAATTCCACCATAAACGATAAATCTTTTAGATTTCCGTAACATTTCCGACTGCCATTTTGTTCAGTCATTTCGAATTCTCAAATTTTGAACAAGTTTGAAATGAACGACGCCACGATCCCCCTAAAAACAAATTACATCATAATCGAAGAATCTTTAAATTTTCCATAACATCTCCGTCCACCATAATGATTCAGCCATTTTGAATTTCGAAATTTTTATCACGATTTCGGAACGAGCGATCCCTAAAACCTCCGAATATGAAGCCACATCGAAATCGGAGTACTCCAACATCCCTTTGAAAAGAGGCTTGAAAAAAAACGTGACATGCCAATTTTAATATAGGATATAAATTATCATTCTGTATAACGTTTTAATTCATTTTTTAATTTAACGTTTTATGATTTTATATCTATATATATATAAATTTTATTAATATAAATTTATATCTATATATAATTTCTTCGATAAAAAATCAGCTAAGAAAATTCCATTCAAAAAGATTAGTTTAGTTAAATATTTCTCGTTGCTGAAATTTTAACACATTATTGATTGACGACTAATTAATTGAAAATTCGCGATTTCAATTAAAGCTTACCCTTCTGTATGTATCTTTCATATCTATTTCAATTAAGCATTTGGAATTCGAATATGGTCTGTAGCGGTTTTCAATATATCGGTTATGAAATTCTAATAATTCCATAGGTTCACTGAGCCAGAAATATATCATTTTCATACTTATCTATCTTTGGTTCGGCAGAAATTTTGATCTATCGTCTGTTAATTAATCGCCTATTTATAGACGATTGTGTAATGAAATAATATAAATTTTAATATTCGAATAACGTGATATAAATATCGTCATCGATTTTGTCTTTAGAAACAAATATATACGAAAATTAATGAAATTTAAACTTTAAATACCCGATTATTGAAAACTTCCATGGAATTTTATTCGAAAGATTTGAGAATAAATTTTTTTTAAAGTTACACATTTTGTAAAATAAAAAGAATATGTATTTTTAATACACATATGTTTTATTAATATTTTTTTCTCTTGCTCTATCTCTATCTTGTTTGGTTATATTTCCTCTTTTTAAAATAAATTATTATTTATGTGATATGTATTAACCTTTTTTTAAGTGTCAATCCTCCCGACGGCCTCTCCGGAAACTGATCGATGGTTAAAACTCAAATTTCCTGTCCAATCTATCAATACTATCTCCGCATATAATCGATGTCTACTTATACGCGATATTTTGAGAATTGTTTTAATATGAGAGGTAAAGAGTGGTGTAGCAAGCAGTGCTTGTCAACGACTGCTGTCTGACGATTAACATATAAATCAAATTTCTGACGGCAAGTCAGCTCCTCCTCGCGCTTGAATTTGTTCCTGGATTCTCCCGTTATCCATCCTGGATGCGTGTGCACCGCCAGCCATCTTGTATACTATTCTCTCTTCCTCTCTTTTTCGAAAATGTACTGAAGAGATGTGCGAATGTTGAGAAGATGAGAATCATCGAGGATGTATTTTCTGCGCAGCCGAACAATCAGCACTGATGGACTGAAAATGATATTCACATTAGTGCCAATGTTGGATTATTTTTTCGAAACGATTATCTCATGAACTAGGTAAATACAAATTTTCAGCACGTAAATATGGAAAGAAACTTTCGCATGTAAAGCACGAAATTACGTTTCAGTAACATCAAATTCCAAATGTATACGTTGAATATTTGCAGAGAAATAATTTGTAGAGAAATAATTTGCAGACAAATACTTGTCTTTGGCGACAACGTATAATTAAATTTAACCTTCCAGAGCTGATGCCGGATCTGTTGAATCATCTCAATCAATTCTTCATATCTGCAAATTATTAGGTGCATTCAGCGAACATAACGGTTGAATGAGCGTTTATTGCTATTGATATATTTTTCTAGATTTATTGTGGGTCTAAAGATCTACTTCAATCAGGCAATAATTACACTGAACGCTCACTCAATCGTTGTATTCGCTGAATGCATTGTTATTACAATAAATTTAATATTTATTCTTTCTTATACGAATTATGCATGTCATTTTGGTTTCTTAAAATTAATTAGTGCCTTTTAGTCAATATAAATTAAATGAGTCTCGCAGACTTATCAGTTAACAGAATTTGGCATCAGCATCGAAAGTTTCAAAGAAATCGAAAGTAATACAAGATATGTGTGTATGAGATCTTCATTCACTTTGTACAGTTCTTTAAATTAATTGACCATTACAATGATTACAATAATTTGATGATTTAATTATAACGACTCGATGATTTATGTTTTTATTTGTGATATGTATATGCAACTGCTGGACGTGTTTTCGAGGACTAGTTTCACTTGGCAAGAAGCCTACGGGCGTAATTTGGAAGGAAGAAACCCAACATCCTCTTGTCTCTCCAGTACATCTCGTTCCGAAGCCGTGATGAGTAGCCAAGGCGGGACGAGTCCTGGGTGCTGTAAGTCTGTCACGCAGGACTAACGAGACCCATCCTGAGAGGATTCACTGTCTGGACATCCGTACTGTAGCGTACTTTCTCCTTCGCCTACTTTCCTATTCTTTCCGTTTTCCTTTACGTACCAAGCGTCGCGCATACGTCCAAGACGATTACTGCACACCCGGGACGTGCGTTGCAATGGCGTATGCAATTTCCACACTCTCGCCGCTCGCAATTTATCAGCGGCGACTGGCGAGAGTCGACCGCGGAAACGCACTAGAAGGCGGAAGATCGAGAAACGAGGATGTATCCCACCGAGGACATGCGTCTTGTTGCTTCTTCACGCCAAAATAACAAAGAAAGAAGAATGAGAATTGGCTTTCCCGTGAGATGCAGCCATTGCGTTTCGACGGTAATCGTGAGTGCAGTCCGACGGAGAAAATATTTCGAGATATTTGAAAGATAGCGAAGGCGTGATCGGCGAAATGAGATAAACACTTCAGAAACAGTCTTCGATTGTTGCTCGACGTGAACTTTAGACAATCTCGTGACTCTTTGAGGTTGTTGCAATTTTTATCCATAAAGCGGGATATATTACGTCAACGCAACGAGTCTCGTTTCGCTACGCATCGACGGTATATCCGCGTGCGATGCTGGCGCGTATACCAATTAACAATTAGCGATTTTGATAACGAGCTGTAGCATAATTCGAATTAGCTCTAATCGAGTAATTCCGCGCTCCGCCGGAATGCACTTTCCATGCCTATGTACCCTCGTATTCGCCCCGTTGCCTAGCCGCTTTAAAGCCGCACCTGTACGTACGTCAGCCACATAATTGGCTTTCGCGATCGTGCCGAAGTACTTGAAGGCGCGAGGATTACCAGGAACCTGATTGCGCGAGAGCTTTGTGCGGCAATTTGGATTTTCCGTCGTTCCTCGCCCGTCGTCTTCGTCGTCTTTGCCATTCTCGTCGCTTCCACGGAGCTTGTGCGTCTTGCCCTACGAGCAGATAGAAAAGCATTTGAAAGAGCCGGAAGTCGGCAAACTAAAACGTTTTTCTTGATAGGATACGCCGAGTTTATGGTCCCTCTTTAGCTCACAATCAATAAAACGAGCACTTAATGGAGGTCGAACAATTCTTGTATAATTTGACATTATTTGGTAACATTCAATAAATCGTATAGATTATTAAATCGCGCTTAATCGTATAGACGATAATAATATAAAGATGGGATAAATTTTATATCTTTCCTCGAATTTGAAATCATACATTTTAAAGATTCACGCTTTAAGTGTAGGAAAACAATACAAAGACGTAGAAAAATTGTATACAATCGCAATAAAAAAAAATAGATTTTATATTCATAATTTATACATTGACAAAAAAATATAGTCAATTTTAATAAATATTTAGTTCAATACTGCCAACTAAACATTTACTTACAGTAAATAAATATTTGTTCAGTAAAAAAAAGATTGTTAGATCAAATTAACATTTCTTGTATCAAATAAATATATCTTTATATTTAATAAATATTTAGGTGGCAGTATTTCACTAAATATTTATTAAAATTGACTATATTTTTTTCAGTGTAATTATAAATCTAAAATAAACAAAAGGAGATCGATATTATTCAAATGACACTCCACTTTACGTTTGAATTTATTATTCGCAACGACATTCTTTATAAGGGCAATTTTTTAACCGACAAAAGAAAATGATATGAAACGTAAGCTTCGTAATGTGTCATCGGAGAATCCATTAAAATTCAACTATTGTTGCAATCTATTAATCGATAAAGCGAACCAAGTGGACGCTCGTTAGCGCGAGCTGCACGGAGTCGCAGTTAGGAGGACTGTCTGGCGAATGGCTGAGAAGGAGTAGAAAAGATGACCTCGCAACGTGGCCAGACGACTAGGAAAGAGCGTCGGTTTACTCAAATGAGGGTGGGATAGGATAGGTAGGACGTTGCGCGGGACGCGCGGTGCAGAGTACGGAGTTGTAATTACACCTGCATGCATCGTTCCTACGTGCATTATAAATGGCTGTGCATTATGAATGAACCGCCGGACGAACCCGCCGGATTATCCTCCCGAAAGAATGGTCCTGCTATCCAACGTAAATCATACCCACCGGCGTCGTTTTGCACCACCAGCGATGTTCTCTAACCAGGGGGATAATTTCAGCATCGGTAAGCGCGCAAATGCAGGTAATAAGCGGCCTCGACATTTTCCCAAGTATCGAAATTCTTCGCAATGTTTCTTATAACTTGTATTTTGCAAAATAATTAATCTACAAAGAAAGCTTCTGCTTCTCCTTTTCCTTCTGTTTTTCGAAGAACATTATGAATTTATGAAGAACTTTATGAGGGCTTAGAATACGCTGGAAAGATACGATATGTGGCAAAGGAAAGAAAGAAAAGACTTTTGTAAAATTCAAATTTGCAGGATATATATCATTTTAATGTTGATGGCCAGTGCTATCTTCATATGCAAGTCTTACTGAGGATGTATGTAACTAACGACATATCTACTTTAACTACCTAGACTTCGGTCTATTAAATCATACATATATGCTATGTACATATATCTTACAGTAAA